AGAACCACTTTTCCCTGAACAAAGAAGACTAAGAGGGGACTTCACTAAAATATTCATAATCCTCAAAGGCTGAATAGTGTTTCTTTGGCAAGCTCTCCAGGCATTGTTAACTGCAAGCAAAGCATGAAATGTATCAAACCTCAAACCTACATAGATTGTCCTTCCCCATGATGATTTTGCTACCTCTGTCCTGGTGTTTTCTGGTTGATACAGTTCATCACTGGCCAGCAGCCGTATAACCCTGCCATTCAAAACTGGCAATCCACTGAAGCTACGCAGGTGTGAGCCAGTGTGAGCCTGGTCAGTACCTGGGAAAAACTAAAGTTGCTGCTGGAAATGGTGTCCCACTAGGGGGAGCTCACCCTGCAGTCTGTGTGGGTCCTAATGCCCCATTGTAGTGAGGGGAACACTATACTTGTAAAAAGGTGCCGTCTTTTGGATGAGACGTTATATCTCCGTGGTCATTAAATGGATGTTTCTCGAAAAGAGTAGGGGTGTTACCCAAACTTCCTGGTCAATTTTCCATTGTCCTTTACTAATCATGGCCTCCTAATAATCCCTATCTATGAGTTGGCTTAATCTCTGTGTTCTCCTCCCCACTGATAGCTGATGTGTAGTGAGCATACTGGCCCAAGTTCAAGAGGTTGAACACCTGAAGAAGGCTCCACGGCCGAAACGTTGTGTTCTCTTTCTTCTTTTTTTCAGCATGGAATAAACCTATTACATATTCTATTAAGTACACATATCCATTCTGTTAAACATTATGGGTCTAAATACACCTTCACATCACAGTAAACCACAGCAGGTCTTTGTTTTCCTTTTTGCTTATTTGAAAAGCCAAGAAATCTTTGCCCATGTCTCGCTTCTAACACTGCAGTCATAATTACTTTTTTGTAAGGTTTCCAGGAATACACAGAAAGAGGATCAAACTCAAGAGATTACCTTTGTATGAACAGACAACCTCATTGGACATAGAGCTCAAAAATCCAAATGGGATGCAATTCAATCTTGCGAATAAGTGGTACCCAAATTAAAACCCAAAATGGAGCATGACAGAGTGGTGCAAACAAAAAAAAATCAGTTAAAACAATAGGATTTAAGCAAAACCATTTCAGAACCAGAATTCACAATGCTGCACTCAAAAGCAGTACAACACAAGACATGGAGTTTACAAGGAGAAATTAGGTGGCGATCTATGCTATTACATACAATAATCTGGACCTGCAAAGTCTGACCTGTACCTCAAATACAATTCTGTTCCATAATGCTTGGGAAATATTTTATATATTATAGCAATTCAAATAATTCAACTAATGTTCTTGGAAGACATTAAATTATACTTAAACTTTAACGTTAACGTTAATGTTAGAAACAAATAGCAGTTAGAATACAGCCCTAAGTATTTAAGAAAAGTTACAAATAAGACAAGGCCATTGAGCCCATCTAGCCTATATGGTACTTAATAACTAATTGATCCAATTTTTTCATCCGGCTGTTTCTTGAAAGATGTTAACAACATGGCAGGACAGCTTGTTCCATTCTCACACAATCCTTTTGCTGAATGTGGAATGCTGGATGTCTAGTTATGGTAAAGTTATTGTGATTTCCTTTTTTAATTTATTTGTGCAAATAATTATTTATATAGTTTTTCTTATCAAGTTGCTGTATTGTCCATATTTTCTAAATAGTAATATGAAAATAAGAAGAAATGTTAAGTGAAGAAAATTACATCCAATTTAGATTATAGTATTTTTAGTTTGGGGTGTTAGAAATTAGTAAGAAACTGTTGTAATAAACTACATATAACTAGCTATTTCAGTTTTCACAGATGATAATATGCTGGTTTCCTGTTTTTGCACAGAGCAGATATCAAATACTGTAGATCTCCAAAATAATTCTCTAATCTTAAAATGAGGTTAGGGAGTATAATTTTAGACCAGTTATCACACAGACATCTCCAGCCATGACTAACATTTTAAAAACAGAAATGTATCTCTAATATGAATTCTTAACAGCAAACCTTTGGCACTTAAAGATCTTGTGAAGACCATATGCAAAACACAGTTGTTTAAAATGTTTGATTCTGGAAAATCTTAAAAATATAGATTTGAATTAGTAGGATTTCAATATTGAAAGTGAACCTGCAATTTTGTAATATAATAAAAATTTAATGAGTATTGTACTTCAGAATTAGTACATTTCTTAATGAACAGCCAAGAACACAAGACAAGGTCAACAAATTGTGTAAAAAATGTGTATTAGTCTTTGTCACCAATTTAAAAGAAAGGTAAATAAGTAGTCTATAAATACTGTATAAAAAATGAATGGGTTAAAATGAATAAACATAACATTCCATGTCAGACGATACAGTCAAAGGTACAGTATATGGTTTAGGGCGGCGATATCCAGACCTGTGTGTTTTACGGTTTTCTAACTGTTTTTGATCTTGATCTGTAGATTAACAGTAACTGAAAAGAAAGGAAAAACTGTTAAACTGGTCTAATTTAGCCAGTAATTGTCTAATGAGCGCATTTAGATGTGGCTTAGGAAGAAAACCTGCGGACACACCAACCCCCAAGCGCCAGAGCAAGTTTAAAGCATTTTAAAGGGTCTTATATTATTTTGTCCTTTAAAACATGGTGAACCCTGAGGTCCAATATGTTCAGATTGTTGAATAGGAAATGCACACACATGTGGTAAGCCACAGTGCTAGAAGTCGAATGTTTGATGCAGTACACCAGTATTTATAAACAGGAAAGCAACTATTTAGTCTACCAATGGTTTAGTTTCGTACAAATAAGTTGACTTTTGAAGACCTGGAGCCCACATGGGATCCAAGATCTCCAAATGCCTTGTGGGATCATATTAATGTCTCTACCCTGGGGTGATATGCAGCAGCCCTTTTGCCACTACAATGCATCCTCCCAAGAAACTGTCCAGATTCAGTCAACAAAGGGGCCTGCTGTTCACATGAAAACAAATGTGAAAACAATTTTGTCATGTAAAAAAATCAGGATGGGATGACACATTTTTGCACCTAACAGAGTGAATGAACAAATCTGGTGTGAAGAGTATAAAGAAATATACAGTATAATATTAATAAGGGGATGTAACGACTTTGCAACGAGCAAATTTATATATACCTGTATATATTTACTGTTGTTGGTCTAAACTATACAAAGCCAAATAGTATTCTAATAAACAGAACAATACAGATTTTAAATCCTTTAATCTTGAATACAGTATAAGATGTAAAAAGGAAGCAGAGAACAAACTGCTGTGCACGCACTGACGAGCATCTGCCATTTCCTCTTGATAACTTATGACGCACAGGTAGCCAAATTCAGAGCCGTGCAACAAACGTACTATACTCCTCACTTTATGTTCGCATGCTTAAAGCTGCGATTAAATAATACATACCAAATGTTGTATTATAAAACACACAGCACAGAGTTAATTACAGGAAAAAAATATCTTCTATGCAGACCTTGTTTTGAACTTTGTACTTTACTAATAGAGGTTTCCAGCAGTTATGGCGTTATTCAAAGGCTGATACAATCTATATGATTTCCTGTATTTTGTTTTGATTAAAAATTGGATAAACGTTTTGCCTTCAATATGCTTGGAGAAAAAAAAAAGTTTTTTTTTTTTTATTCATTGCGAAAGCCCTAGAGAAAATCCCCTTCTAACTGCAGCCAATCAAAACTTTACTAAGATAAAACTCCAGCCTTTCCCACTGGCCTTAGCCTTCAGCCATGCAAAACAGAAAACTCTGAAGGTCAAAGATGACAAACGGAGTCTGTCCTCTTTAGACAAAAGGAGGTAACTGCAGAACAGTGAGTCATGGTTGTTTTCATTCTCTCTATCAAGCAGCACGCTAGATGTATTATTCAGTTCAATTTACAAATGATCTCTTAAGAGCACAATTAACCTAAATTTCCAAAAAAATTAACTATGATGTTTGAGACCTTATGATCAGAACGCAGTCGTCATGCATTACCATCAACGCAGGGACTAAATGTGAGAAAATGCCCCCCAAGTTACAGTGAATCTGTCTGGAATTATTCACGTTCCCACCATGTAAAATACATTTTTACATGATCAAATGGCATCTTTAAAAAAAAAATCTCGTCCTCTATGAAGTTTCATTTCAGCGAAGTTTCATTTCAGCGGGGTTTGGAAGACTGAACCAAACGAATCTCAGGTGCTCACAAAAATAAAGGGTTAAATGTTGCAGCATTTACTTAGTCCAAATTTACAGTCGCGTTGTAGTACCAGCAGTCTGGAGGCCACGCATCTCAGTGACCTACATGTTTCAGTTTCTCGATTGTGGTCCATTCCGAACACTTGTATATATTAGTACATTAATAATTAGCTGACGATTTTATTCAAATCAGCTTTCATTTGCAGCAGTTTATACACAGCTGGGTGTTTTCCTGGACCAATCTGGTTTATAAACAGTGTCTCACGTGTGATTTGGACACACAACCTTCCAGTTACGATATAGAACCCTTGCCATTGTTTTACATTATTTCTGGACATGTTGTATTCACAATTACTTACATTGTGCCTGTACATGGTTTCTGTATTTACACTAAACCACCAGGCAGGAGTCTAGGAGCCTTAAAATAACTTTATTTTCCTAGTCGTTTCTATCACTTTTTGAGTCTTGGTATAATACAGTAAATATATACAGTATTAATACAGTACTGTATACTGACACCTTATCAGAAAGACTGGAGTAGCTAAATGCAATCAAGGACGGAATTATACAAAATTTTGCTAATCACTGTTTCACACCTTTTGTTCAGAAGTGGTTAATAAGATTCTAAGGCAGTGGTCTGATAAAATTGCACGCCCCGAACCTCATCCAGGTGGATTGAAAATGGATTTGTAGACGATAAACGTGCCCTAAATCACCCCAACAGTACTTAAGATAGCCGGTAGGAGTCACACAGTCACTGGCGGTTCAATAGCTGTTACTCGCACAAGTTTCTGAAGTAAAAGTGACTGAGAGAAGAAACAAACTGCCGGAAGTGCAGAAAGAGAAGGGGGAAAACTTTTCAAGAACTACAATGTAACTTACTCTATCGGAATATTTGACGCAAACATATACTCTTCTAGAAGAAGAGATAACGTCAACGTTAAACCTGAAAAAACGTTTAATGTAGGGAAAATTTTAAGAAACGTTTTGTTTTGGGTGAGCCTTGGGACGTATTTTTTTTTCTTTTTGCTTAACTTTCCCATATGTACAATGGGGCTGCCTACACTGGAATTCAGTGATTCCTTCTTGGATAGTCCGGACTTTCGGGAACGTCTGAAATGTCATGAAATTGAACTCGAAAGGACGAACAAATTCATTAAAGAGCTCATTAAAGATGGGAATATGCTAATTTCTGCGCTGAAAAGTAAGTAAAATTCGGGATCCGTAAAAGTCTTGGGAGTCGTGAATACCATCTCAGTTTAACAGAATGCAAGGGTGAAACATTTAAATACTGATTGAAAACTACCCCCATAAGAATGTCTCGGTCGTGTTATGCATTTCAAATCTTACATATAACTTTTTTTTTTTACTTTCTTTTTTAATTCTTGAACCACAAATCAGTACGGGCGATCTGTTACTGTAGATCCCATTCATTCCTTGTTGCATAGCTAACGCAAAACTGGTTTACTTTATGACGTAAGTTGTAGATGCGTTTAATTAATTGTAAAATAAACATTTTTAAAGTACAATGATGCTTGAGAGTGGGCTGGAGCTGTATTTTCTTACTTTTATGTACCACATCTTCATAGGCAGAATGGACTTTTACACGGAATGGGGGATGTTATATTCAGAATGACATCCCTGTAAAATCTCTGCAGCTTAGAAACTTGTTCTGCCTGTATGTTATACATTTTCATTATGTTGCAAGCACTTGAGACTTCCAATAGCCTTTGGTTTAGTTTTTTTTTTAACCAACGTCAAAAACCGGTATGCAGTACATGAACGAATTGCAGCCATTCTGAAGTGTATATGAACAGGATATTTACCACCGAAACAGTTTTATCACCAAGAGTTGCAGTTTTAGATACTAAAATATAGTAAAGCGTAAACAAAAACAAATTCAAAGTTTTAGTAAGACTTTTTACATTCGTGTTTTATACTTAGCGTTGTCTTGATGTGTCTGTGGTTGAGTATTCGTTTTCCAAGTAGAAAATGCAAAGACTGCTCCTTCGTTTATACCAGCTCAGGGACTGACCTAGAGGGCAAAGTTACATTCCTCAATTCAATCTATAGTAATAGCACTAGAATGTACTGTAGTTGAAAATTCACTTTTTTAAAACCCAAAGTCGAATAAGATGTGATGGCGGCTGTGCTGTAGGTTCTAAAGCTGCCTAGTGCTGATTGTTGCCCTTAGTTATCTTTGAGTAGCATCTGAGAAGCAGTTCCAGAATGTTGCTATTCTTTAATTCCCACGCTGTTTTTATACTATTCTACTGTTCAATTACATGGGATGTTTTTGAAAAGCCCCACACTGTAATACTCTTTTGTGATAAAACACAGCAATGTTCTTATTGTGTTGCTTACAAAACTGACAGTTATCACAATCCTTATGCTAATAAAATGTTTGTGGGATTAGGATAGTTACCACACATTGAAAATAGTACTCTGAGGTTTATAAAAGAGAAACATTGTATAGGAAACAGCTGATAGTAATTTCGGAGTTCTATAGTAGATGTTGCATACTTGCATTTTTAGTATTTTTTGTTTATATTACTGTTTTTCTGAGTTAAAACATATTTCTGATAGCTAAGAAAGCTGGTGTATGGAAATGGAGTGATTTATGGCAGCACACGTGTTTTATAGCTATAGTATTGCAGTCAGTCTATAGACATATGGATATCATTAGTAGATTACCAAAATACACACATTAAAGGGTATTATTAAAGGATAGTGAAGAACATTTCTTCAAGGGCATAGAATCACTTTCCAGAACTCAGTAGTGACTGATAGTAAATGTTTGTTTTAGTGATTTATGAAGAAGAATTACTTATCTTTATTAAAAACAAACTTTTGAAAAACAGGCTTTGATGTAGACGGTACAACAACTGAGGGGTATAAAATGTACTGTACATATTAATTATAAACCATTTACATCATTTAGACACAAGTGACCTTCACTGAACTTACCATTGCTATCGCCTCTTGAATTATAGATAGATAATACTTTATTAATCCCGTAGGGAAATTGATAAATCTGAAATTACAGTGATATTGCTGCTTATCAATGAAACCTTCGACACTGAGGAAAACACCTGAACCTGGCCTGTCCTGCTCATTTGATCTCAGAACTAAAACTTCATTTGTAAAAATTGTTTTGTAATTCCTTGTATGGAAAAGTCCAATCTCATGTTCATGCATGTTTATCTCATTGAACTCTAATAATGTATTGTATATTTAAAGTGTGCACGTTGTATACTGTTTTAAATGGGTATGTATTAAGATACTATTTTAAATTAACTCAACTAGCACTGCTGGTTTACAGAAAATGTAGTGCTCTGCAGACCTCAAGTTATAATAACCCTGATCTCTGTGCATTTTGCTAATTCTTCTCCATGTAGACCTAGCTTTTCAATAATGAGCAACTTTAAACAAATATCCTGTGGTAACTTGCAGCAGGCCTGGCTATTCTCTCCTATTATCATTTTTATTCTGACTATCAAGTTTTTCATTACTCCAAGTGTGCTTCAAAACTCCTGCTGTTAATTGCATAGTGATGACTGTCTGCACTGTACAGAGTTAATTTGGTGGCAATATCTTTAAACACATTTCAGTACCTTTAAAACAACCCTGGGAATAGGCTGCATATCCTCTCATTTAAATGGATTATTGATTTAAAAAAGCTTCAGAGTTTTATTCATGTTAAACAAGTCTGTCTTAAATATTTTCATTAGTTTTGTAATGCAAGGAATTCCTGAAGGAAATTGTTTTCCCTTTGAATTTTGCTACGTGCTCAAATAGAGCTGGCCTCGATTTGTAAGCTCTAGGGAACCCGTAAAGGGTATTAATAAGTCTGTCTACTCTGCAGTGCTAGGTAATTACTCTCAAGATGTTTTCTTCTCTGGAGGGTGGATGTGTACATCCTGTTTTGGTGCTGGTGAGGCTTTTAAGCAGCCTACTGCCATTCATTGCCTGCCCATGTGCTTTGGAACCTCAACAAACCTATAGTGGCTGGTCATTCCTTTTTCTTGCAATCACTTCATCTAGTCTTAAAAAATAAATCACTTCTGTAATGCTTTTGGTGGGTCTAATGGCTTTTTAAATGACTGACCAGGGCCATGGTCAACACATGAGGTTGTATAGCAAGCTCTTGACAATTTCACTGTAGTCAGTGATACAAGTAGTTGACGGTTCATAAAAGTGTAATCACTTTTTTTGTGTAGTGATGATTTCAGGAAGTTTATTTTTTAATGTGTTACAATAACAATACTTTTGTACTAAGAAATCATTCACGAGCCAAAAAAGGCATTTTAAAAAAACCTTTTATCTGAAGACACCCTTCAGCTTTAAGATAGGATCCCTAATTTGTTTAATACAGTAAACCTTTCAAGAGCATAGAAACACAGTGTTTTTAAAACAATTTTTTTTTCACAATGTTTTTGTATTTAAATGTTGTCTTTACAACAAAATCATTTAAACTGGGCTGGATAGAGCATATGACTGGATGGACTTAATATCCATTACCCAATTCTTTTTTTTCATTAGTCCAATTGTAATTAACATGACAAGATGACAAATATAAAATAATTCATGACAAATATTAAGGGATACTTAATATTTTGGTGTTAATTCATTTGAGTGAGGAAATAAGAGCATACTTCTTCAATGACAGAACTACTGTTGTGGGTGCTGTGTTTCAACGACTTCGTCTGGATTTTCGAGGTTTCAAAGGAACACTGATCAGAGAATATGTGCCATAGTGGTGAGTGAAACTCCTACTCTAAGAAGGGTCAAACAACTCTGGGAAAGGAAATATAAGTGGTTTAAGTATTTGAAGGTTAGGATTTTTAGACGCAGAATTTGTATTATTCCAAATATTGTCCCAGGAAACAGGCTTGTCTTAAGGGACATTCAAGCCTCTGTTTCCAATAGTAGTGGTTATATGATGCCTATATTAGAAAGACATGTTGTATACATGCAGACATAGTATATAAACAACCACAAGCCCCAGTGGACATCACAGGCAAGCTTTGCAGTATGGAGATGTAAGTCTAAAAAAAAGCAATGCCAGTTTCTGGGGGCAAGAATAACTTTGCTTTGGGGGTAAACTCTGTGGGTATAAAGTGAACCTTTGGTCATGGTTAATTAGTTTTTTTATAAAGCTGATCAGAGCCATCATTTCAGCCAAATGCTTTTGATTGGTTAGAGTCCCTGCTCATGGAACTATTCCTTTTATTTACAATTATACAATTTATCAAGCTTCCTTTTGAAAGAATAACCACATGTGAGCCAGCTGTCAACTAAAAACATTTCTGTGGACTGGGAGCGTGTGTGAATAGTGAAGATCTTCCCGAGGCTTTGTCACAGGAAATTGATTATAAACAGTCTTCAGCATTTGAGGATTGTGTAACCGCAACCTGACTTCATTCGAACTATGGTTTAATTCATAGTGAGAATCCCAGTGAATGCAGAGAATAATGTAAGTCACCAGTCATGCACCTACACCATTTAATGAAAATACTTGTAAATTATCACTTCAGCCAAATGCTTGATACAATGATTTTAATATGTAACTAAATGGCACGTGTATTTTTCCCCTTGCACTGAAACCAATCATGATTGGTCACTTTCTTATTAAATTAATGGCTCACTTTTTTCTTGTCTTGTAGTAGTTATTACTTACAGTGTTGCACAGTTTGCAGTTCACTGAAATGAACAGCTGTTTGGTCACTTCAGTTGTTTGAACACAACTTTGTTGCAAAAGATATTTTACTGCTCATGCAGGTACAATTTACTTCAATCTTCTAGTGAACCTTTTTCCTTATATTGAAGATTAGAATGTCACATGACGGCTTTCTATTTTCCAAGAGATCCTGCTGTGAAGAAATTATCCAGTACTTGTCTTTGTGATAAAGAAAGTACATTAAATTCTGATAAAAGAAGTCAATAGTTTAAAGTCAATTACACAACATCTTTATACACTGAGCTTTAGTTATTTGGAAATTTTGTCCCTGGACCTGAATTGCTTTAAAGAATTTAAGATTCTTAGAATCGATTTAAGAATACCGATTCAAAGAATATCAGAACAATGCAAGTGTTTAATTTAATGCAATTGCTAATAATGGAAATACCTAAAAGTTCATATGTTATTGTTAAATTTGATTGAGTTCTTTTTAAAAAGGTCAGAGATTTGATGCAAGAAATGGC